ACGGCTAAATAATTTAAAGGGCCTACTAGATGCTGATAGGGATGGTTATCATTTGTACCACTTTTTATTAATTTTTTTCCTACTGGAGAATGTGCGAGTGTGGGGGCACAATAATTCGTAACGAATCTGCCTAGTGATTGCTCAATACAGGAGCCTTGATCTAAGTAGACCTTGTTATGTTTGCAACTGATTCTTGTTCCCAATATCGATTTGGCTACTCCTAAGTCTTTGATCATGAATTCAGTACTCAATTGACTTCTTAGTGAATATTTTCGCTTTTTGCTTTTACTGATAACAAACACGTCATCGACATATGGTGCTATTATTATTTTCGAACCTCCCTCACCTTTACAGTCAATGCACAGTGCAGATAAAGATGGTTTAAAATTAAACTTTGTTAATACTCTGTTCATTTTGTCATTCCGCGCTTTGACGCCTGTTTTAGCAGATGTATGGCCTTTTTATGCGATAAATCTTCCTCCCATCCATGGTTTATCCTTCCGGTTGGTGCATATAGATCTCTTTGAGATCGGCATTCAGGAACGCGGTGGTTACGTCAAGGTGTTCTATGCTCGTCTCTGATTGGAACGCAAGGGAAGTTAGTAATCGAATTGTGGAGTATCTGGCGACTGGAGAAAAAGTATCAGTAAAATCTAGACCGTATGTTTGCGAATACCCTTCTGCAACCAACGCAGCTTTAAATTCATTCATATTACCTTTACCATCCTTTTCAATTTGAAGCCTTTTTACCTTGTGGAAGTGTTACAATTTCCCACACATTGTTTCCTTTCATCGAATGGAACTCTTTCTCCATCGTTTGCTTCCAGTTATTTGCGTTGTGTGACGATAGGGCTTCCTTTACAGACGAAGGATCTTTGCCTGTCCTCACGAATGCACGGTGCCTTATCACGTCGGGGAACCATCTGTTTTTTCTCTCACGTGGGGGATATCTTCCGGGAGCTTATTCTATGCTTGTTTGCACTGGTGGATCAGACTCCGAATGACTACTATTTTCGGCGTCTGAATGCTCGGCATCACTCTGGGATGAATACCCTATAGTCTGGTTTTCGGTTTCTTCTCGTATGTGGGCTTCGCCCTAATTGTCTTACAGGACGGTTGGCTGTATGAAAGAAATTTTCCATGTTTCCGGATTGTCTCTATAAATTTGTTGAGACACCTTTTCGTCGTTTTGTCCGAGTTGGATCTCCATGAATATTACATCTCGGGCTTTTCTTATTTTTCGTGGATTTTTCACCTCAACTGACCTGTAACTTTTGAATTCGAACACTATCCAATAAAAACACATTCTAAGCCTTTAGGACCAAATTTGGAACGATGCTGCTTAGGAACATGAGCATATGCTTTACATCCGAATACACGTTGGTTCCGAAAATCTATCTTCTTTCCAGTCCACATTTCAAAGTTGGTATTTCCTTTGACCGATTTAGTGGGTGAACGGTCATTTCGGTAAATCGCGGCTCTAACGCCTTCTTCCCAAAGTCTGGAATCTGAGTTGGAATAGTTTATTAGGCAACGAGGATATTCAACCATTGTTCGGCTGACACGCTCCGCGACTCCGTTATGTTCTGGGGTGTAAGAGACGATTGTCTGGTGCCGTATGCCATTCCACTTTAGATAATTATCAAACTCTGTGTTGACAAATTCTTTGCCGTCGTCTCACCTGACTGCTTTAATCCTTTTACCTGTATCATTTTCTGTCTAGGCCGTAAATTGCTTGAAAGCATTCTTGACTTCGGAATTTTGTTTCAAATAATGGCCGAACGCCATACCTGTGTAACCATTTGCGATGAGCAGGACGTACTGTGGTCCCGAAAAATTATGTTCGTTGATCGGGCCGTGTAAATCAATGTGTAAAGGCTCTAGTGTTTGCGTCACTCTCTGTCCTCCATCGTGATTAAACGGTTTCCTCGTCATTTTTCCGCTTATACGAGCAACGCAGGGTACCCTGCCTGTATCATTGCAATCGATCCCTGTTGCAAGCCCTTTACGTAATAAAGCCATATTCTTCTCACTTAGGTGGCCTAATCCTTTATGCCACAACTGATGGCCTTTGGAGTTATAGGTTGTTTGGTGAACATAATCAGAAGCGACGTCTAATTCATTCAAACCATCCTGATTAGTCCCGCTAGCTAACGGAGTGCCTTCAGTAGTGGTGCATTTCTTTGAAAGAATTTTGCATTGCTTGTCGTCAAAGACAGCTATTAATCCTTTCTCAGCTGCGGCATTTACAGATAAAAGGTTCGTACCTAGTTAGGTGCATGTAAGATATTCTTAATGCCTCTATTTTCTGACTGACCTTTAAGCTTCATGCTGAGGTTACCTGATCCACTTGCTTAAAGGGTTGAATATTTGGCGTCTGCTTTAAAACGATTTTCCAATTCTTGGAAATCATGTAGTGGCTGACGATCAGGCGTCATGTGTGTCAAAGCTCCAGATTCGGTATACCAGTCACTCTTATGTACTTTAGTGGTCAGTGCAGCTAGTAAATTCCATTTCTTATTTTTATATTTATTGTAATTTTTGAAATTACTTACGTGTATCTTGGATTGTGATCCTTTGCATTGACGAGTTGTATGACCTTTTTCACTACAAACATAACATGTGGGGTTCTCTTTATGCGTATTTTTGACGTATTGCTTCCAACTTACAAATGCGGTTCCTCTCGTCATTGAACTTGGCTTCCACTTGACCCTTCCTCTAGCAGCTTATTTTTGGCTATATCACTGGTTATGTCTCCTCCCGAACTGTCTATGGCCATTACCATACGTTTGTGTTCGGATGGCAAGCCAGCCAGAATAGTTACAGCAAGCAGCTTGTCTTCAATCGGATTTCCTATGTCAGCAAGTTCTTGGGATAGGGAAATTGTCTCTGAAACGTACCCGTTCATGCCGTTAAAACCGTTGTAGTAAATTTGGTGGAGCGCTTGCATGGGATTAAGTATGCGAGCCAGTCCTTTATCTTC